TGCGATTCAATGAGCGATTGGATGCTGAGGGAGTTCGTTTGGGTTTGTGAGAACGACATCGAGGCACAAACAGAGAGGCAAGATCAGGAAGCCACGGAGTTCGAAGATGCTGTGGCGCAATATTGCCGAGAGGCTGGTCTCAGCTTGTGCCGAGAAGAGGACCTGCGAGGTACCTCAAGGGTGACACCAGACGTGTATTTCTCCTCTCCAGTAATGCTGTCCTTTGGTACAAGGATGGAATCCTTTGCATGGTTGGAGTGCAAAAACTTCCACGCGGGTTCTCAAAACAAGATGATGCTTCGGAAGCTCAAGGATCAAGCAAAACGCTACGTGGAAGCCTTGGGTCCTGGTGCTGTGGTGTTCGCTGCTGGAGCAACTGAGAAAGTGAAAATGGCCTTAGCGAAGTTTGGCGTAGCTGCATTGGACGGGTCAAGCATCAGAAGGTCGAAAAGCCAAGGCCCACGCTTCATCAGTGGGCCCAGCGCCGAATTTTGGTGCTTGCCACGGCAGAGTCCAAAGCCAGGAAGAAAGAAGAACACATTTTTTTGAATGCTTTGAGGAATTGCTGGCACAGATAGGTCATGATAGGTCCCAAGGCAAACAAAGCTTTGCTTGATGATGTTTATAGCATCGATTGATGAAAAGCACTTGTGCCACTAAAGTGGGGACTCGGAGGGACGCAGCTGAGATGTACTATGTTTTTTCACTCCGAGTTTCACTCCCCTGGTCGGGTCCTGTAGGCGAAAGGCATGTCACCATTCTTCCTTACGCGAACTGCATCAAGATAGGACTCCAAGACACTTTCGACATTTGGTCACCAAACACTGATTCTGCAGGTCCGCCAATTGGAGCCTGCCTCCACGCTTACTCTGACAGTCTAGGCTTGCATGACGGGTGAATACCCAAAGTGCCCCCAATTGTTTAAACAGCACTTCCTCGGCGATGTCTAAGACATAGGCAGAGGGTCAAGTGGAATTCGACATCCTGCAATTGGATTTGGTTTGCACGTTCTTCGAAGTGCATAGGGCTTCGCAGGGAATCGAGGCAAACAAGAGGTATGGGTCGTTTCTGAGCAGAATCTTGACAGATTTTGGCATTTTGTACTCGGCTCATCGTGATGTCCCTTTCTTTGGCTCAGTTTCGTCAGTTACGACTCCATATTAGTGCTTAGGGAGGGGATGGCGGCCAATGAGGCGGAACGCGATTCCTTTCAGCCGTGTTTCTTTTAAGCCCGCCCCTACTTTTCTTTTGTAGGCACCTACTTCACTAAGCAAGGGACCTACTAAATTGAGGAAGGGAGCAAGCTGCTAGAAATGGGAAGCTCCTAGCTACTGGACGCAGGATAGCTCACGCTTCTTCATAGAAGCTCCCTGCGCTGCGCTAAATGCGACGGGGTGGCGGGGGGAGCTTCCTCGAATTGAAGAAGCGCTGACACTAATGACTTGTTCCTAGATTCAGTGGAGAAACCACTCAATGTTGCAGTGACAGGCCGCCAGGGGCGTCGTGGAGAAACCAATCATGCCACGAAGCAATTGGGCAGTCAAGGCGAGATGGGACCGATTTGTTTGAAGAGATTTCCTCGTTTTGCACAGTCCTGTGTTTTTGATTTGGGAATCTTGTGCTGTGTGGATTTGAGGCCTCATTGTGGGTAATTTTGACTATCATTGATATGCACCTCTTGTTTTGCAAAGAGCAAGTGCTTTGCCAAGGCCTTTTGGAGTATAGCTTTGATTACGGTTTCCGCCGCATTGATCAACTACAATAAGTACCTCATGAGTCCATCAAGGCGCTGGCAACACTTGTGGAAAGGCTGAGCATAGAGGTTTTTGAGTGAATGGCATGGCGCGCTTTTTGAGTTTTCTCCTAAAATTCCATTGCTGCGCTGTCCCTCTCTCTCTCTATATGCACGCTTTTTCCGTGAGGTTTCCATATCCCATGGTGCTGCTTGCCGATAGTCCAGACGCATCAAGTCAAAGAAACATCTCACAATCGTGGATAGATGCAGATGCGTGGATTGCAGGGTGTGGAAGCCAAGGCTAGTCTCACTGCACATGTCCTGCGGCTCCCTGCTGAGCTGTGGACTTTACATGGCTATGCCCACTCTTTTTACAGCTCTTACGGACCCCGACAAGAAGGCAGAGTTTGCGGGAGATGACAGCATTGTACAGCGGCAATGCGGCAGCGACAATGATGTTTTGAACGGAATAGTGTCGCTTTTGTTTTTCAATCGGTGATTGGTTCTCTCTTTTGAGGGTAAGTTCAGGATTGCCATTTCTCCATGCTGTGATGGAGATTTTGTTTGGCCAGGTGGCTGTCGATGCCACCTTCTTGTGGTCTCGTGTTCTTCCTGTTGGCTTAGCCTTTGCAACGTCTTTGATTTGCAGCAACGTGGCCTATGAGTACGCCACTTGACACAGACTGCCCAGTTACGTGCCCCACTAGCCAACAATGACATGCACAAGCTGCACAAGCTTCACAGCTTTGAGAAGGGATCGAGCGGCCACTCGTACAGCGTGAGGCGAGCGTGCCATTTCTCCAGATGGTGAAGCAGAGCAACGTTATCATTGTTTTCTTCCTGTCTCTCCTTGCTGGCTTGGAGCAGTGACTACGCTGCAAAGGGAGCTCGTGCGGAACATTGGCTGACCGCTTGTACTGCATTCATCCCCTGTAGTGCAGGTCAGGTGCAAAGGAACATTGGAACATTGGAAATTGCATGGCAAATGGATATTGTAGGAAGATTGCACGGGAAGTGTGGAACGGCAATCTGCAGCAACAAACTGTATCCAATTGTATATTCTTGAGCTACACCCCGCACCCTTTCAGTGCACCATGTGTTTTGCACCCGAGGTTTCGGAGTAATTTGGCTCTGGTTTTGCTTTGCATAGTTGTGGCCACGGCGTTCACTGTGAACGGGGAGCTTCGCTTTTCGCTGACAGGGTGGGGCATGTTGCCGCTGAAGCATTTTAGGACAAGCTAAAAGATCTAAAAGCAGTTTGAGCATGTTGACTCTTTCTATGGCAGACAAGGCAACTGAATTTGCGATGAGGATCGTAACCTTTAAAGAAATGGATAGCGGAGGACACGGCAACACACACACACACACTTAGGAAATGCGTAATGACTCAATTGCGGTTTGCCACACGCCAGCCTATATAAGTAAAAAACCTAAGAATCCAGGACAGGTGTAGGTAAGGTGGTCATCTCAACCAAAGTGACAAGTGCATGTTTGCCGAGTGCATAACCGATGCAAAGGCTGGTGAGCTTGTTCTCGTTACAACGGGACCGAGTGGGAAGTTTTCAAGCACATCGCAGGTACGCTGGGATGATCAGCCCCAGTAGCACCAGGAAAACGAGAGTGCCTTCGTTGGTGGCAGACTCTCGTTCCTGCTGCCACCCCCTGCTGCAAACTGAAAATTGAGAAAAGCAAAGCCAATTCAAAGCAATCCCTGTGACTCCAAGGGTTTCTCACACACGCCTCCCGTTGAGGGAGGCCAAAAGAACTGAGGCTACGACTAATGTGCATGTGTCCGCGCAAAACAGACAAACGAATGCCGACATGAAAGGAGGACAAAACAGACAATGTGATTGCAATGAAAGTAAACCAAGTGACCAGGGACAACCAATGAACCCAACCTCCTTGTAAAGACCTGGGCAACCTCAAGCCTGGGCTTAAGTGTAAGAGCGCGCATGCATTAAGGGCCGGGCAGATGTGCGCGCAAGAGAAAGAAGGAATGAGATGCCAAGACATGAAGACAGAAAGGCATGAAAAGAAAGAGGAAGAAAAGACGTGTGTAAAGGGGAAAAAAGATGGAAGGGGGAACCAGATGGAAGGTCCGGAAACCAACGAAACCAAACCTCATTGAGAAAACCTAGGTAGACCTGAGACCTGGCCTCGTTTACATTGTACACGGTGTATGTGCACCTACGGCTCCAGCAGACATCAAGGGGTCTTGAGAGAACTTCGGCCGCTGCGGCCACGTATGAGTGCCAAACTGGCTGGCAGCTTTGACCGTTATGGTCACCCAATGGCCTCCTCGAGACCTGCCTACTCAGATTCAATAACTCGTCATGCCTCGTCTTGGCAAATAAATTGGCATAAGCGTCCTGCGCTCGCTGCGAGCTGTTCCGTTTCCAAGCAGTGGAAACATAGACAAACCCCCTTTCAACGGGGCCACAGGGGAAATTTGTCGGGTACACCCTGGGCTCTCACTAAGGAGAGACACACTCAGGAAATGCGTGCTGACTTGATTGTGGTTTGCGACACGCCAGCGCCAGGACAGGTGTAGGTAAGGTGGTCGTCTCAGCCAAAGTGACAAGTGCATGACTGCCGAACGCATAACCGCTGCAAAGGCCGGTGCGCTTGTTCTAGTTACAACGGGACCGAGTGGGAAGTTTTCATTGCGACCGCGCAGGGGGCCACGCTAAATCTTCGGACCCAGTTGACCGGTTGACCCAGTTGACCTCAACTGGGTCAACCGGGTCAACTGGGTCCGGAGATTTAGCGTGGCCGCCTGGTCAAGTCGACCACTGCGACTACAACGCGTCAACCGGGTCAACTGGGTCCGGAGATTTAGCGTGGCCACCGGATCCACCGCCACCACCACCACGACGACGACTACTACTACTACCACCACCACTACTACTACTTCTACTACTGGGTCAGCTGGGGTCAACTGGGGTCAACTGGGTCCGGAGATATAGCCCGCCCCCGGTCAACCGGGTCAACTAATCAGTTCGACTGGGCCAACTGGGTCCACCACCACTACTATCACCACTACCACTACTGCTTATGGGTCAACTTGGGTCCACTGGGTTCAAGGTCTGGCAACGACTACTATACTGAGCATGCTCGATCAAAAATGAATCCCTACCAGTGCTAAGTGTACAGTAAGGCAGTCTGAACAGTAAGAATTAATACCAGGGTTCCCGTGTTGAGCTTGGACAAAATCTTTTTTCTTATTATCAAGTTCATCGGTTTTGTATTTCCATTGGGCACCCCACGTGAAACAGGCGTAGCCACTGCATGGATAGACGGCCGTCAAAGAATGGCCAACGAATGGCATGCGTGGAGCTAAATTTCAAGTTGTATCGATGATCTGGACCTCTCAGACCGGGGAAGGTTCAATCACCAATTGCCCCCTTTCGTGCGAACTGCTGTGGATTTGGAATTGTTTTTCTTCTGTATATAAAAATCTTTTCCAGGTCAGAGTCAGGGTCAGAGTTCGGCTTCTGTGAGGATCCCGTGGTCGACTTGTGGATCTTTTCCAGGTCCAAACCAGGGATCAGGTGCTGCGTGTTCGATCGTCAGGACCGTCAGGCTATCCACTAAACCACAGACAACTAAGTCAACGCATAAATAGAATCCTGGAACCTGAGTAAGCCTGTACTTTAAATCAACACCAACCATCCTCATCTGTGGCAACATGGAGCTATAAAGACATGTGACATGACCTAATCAATGGAAACCAACATCAACATCAGACATTCCGTGTAGAGCTTGATTCGGAACCTTACTTGTTGAAGTTCAATAACAGTCTTCATCACAACCTCGGTTGATCCAGCTTGATCCACTTCAGAAGCCAACAGTTGAGTTGGGGACCGCTTCTTCCTGCGAGTCAAGAGATAGCCCTAGATCTACCGACGACCTGTGAGCAAGCGACTTGGCTATGTAAAGCTACGCAAAGAAAGCTAGAAACCAAGATCAACACCAGACATCTTGTGTTGAGCTTGGTTAGGACTCCTTCTTCCATCGAGTCGACCATGGCCGCATAAACAACATTGACGCGTAGAAATACATAGTCTAACCATGGGAAACCAAGCTCAACGCCAGGTGTCCCGTGCTGAGGTTGGTTGAAGACTTTTCCTGAGCCAGTTGAGGCAGTGTCCATCAACCTCAGTACAAAACAACCGCGTAAACAACAGTAATGAGTTATGAAAACATGATCTAACACATAGAAGCCACACTCCACACCAGGAATCCCATGTTGAGGTTGATGGGTGATCTTTCTGGATTCAGTTCAGACAACAACCTAGTAGTAGCAGTGGGCCCAGCTGACCCCAGTTGACCCGGTTGACCCCAGTTGATCCAGATCACCCAGGTGACCCATTGGATCCACTTGACCCAGTTGACCCAATGGACCCACTTGACCCAGTTGACACCTAGTAGTAGCAGTAGTAGTCGTGGTGGTCGAATTGACCAGGAGGGCACGCTAAATCTGCGGACCCAGTTGACCCCAATTGACCCAGTTGACGCGTTGTAGTCGCAGTGGTCGACTTGACCAGGCGGCCACGCTAAATCTCTGGACCCAGTTGAGGTCAATTGGGTCCACTCGGTCAACTGGGTCAACCGGGTCAATTGGGTCAACTGGGACACCCTGTTCAACTGGGTCAACTGAGGCCACAGATTTAGCGGCCCCCTGTGCCTGTGCCGACGCACTCGAAGTTCTCAAGTATACGGCGCAGGTACGCTGGGATGATCAGCCCCAATAGCGCCAGGAAAACGAAAATTTGTGGCAGACTCTTGTTCTTGCTGCCACCCCCTTCTGCAAACCGAAAATGAAAAAACAAAGCCAAATCCAACAAATCACACACACGCACACGGATGTGTATATATATATATATGTGTATATTTACACGTTTATATGCATGTACTGTATATTGCATGTTTGTGTGTGTATATTTTTTACTTGTGCAGTAACCTCTTTCCGTTGTTCGCAAGACAGAATCTGTAGGTTGTTGGCGCAGCTCTGCGGCAATTTTGCGGAGTCATGCAGGGTGGTAATGCAAGGCCTGGCCTGGCTGCTGTCACCAAACCTGACTTTTTGTGGCACAGCCGGCAATTAGATGCACTTTCTGATGACGTGCCTCTCACAGGTATATTGCTGACAGGCTTGCTCCTCAGACAACGCCAAATCCGACCCTTCCAAGTTTTAGTATACTGTGGGCATAGCTGCAGACAATCATAATTTTATCGTGTTGTGTTCTTTTGTTTGTGAGGCGCAGAAAGACTGGACCCTTTGTCATTTGTGGCCGTGGTATCTCCAATTTGCGGTCTGTGCTTAGCAGGAGAAAGGGATTGGAAGCCAAAAAACAGTCAGGTGGCAGGATATGTTTCAACATTTTGACGTTCATGACGTCTATGTTTGGTCCAATTTCGGCAGCCTTTGACTCACGGTTGTTCGGCCGCCTCGGCGCCAGTACTCCTTGGCTCCTTCAATCATTGGCATGCTGCGCAGTTTGCGGCCATTCCCAGCCTCGAGACCTTTCAACAGTGTAGCTGGCTTTTGGTAGGCCTGTGTGGCTTTGGTGTGAAATGCCGCTTGGGGATAAGTCATCACTAGCACTTTGAAAGAGGAACAGGAACTGAAACGCCCAGGCGAAAACATACAGTTTGTTTGCAGTTAGACTCTGAACCTTTGAAGGCAACGTTGCAGTGGCCTTTTTGCTGAATGTGATTACCGCCAACTTCCTGAAGCACGGGTCACCGTTGTCACTTTTGCTGACCAACCTTATCAAGGACATGGGATGACAACCCGTCATGGAAGCGGGGACGAAGTGGTGACGAGCAGGAATCCGAAATAGAAATCATTTGACTACTGGGTCGGCCTCTTTAAAAGGCCTTTCTGTCAGGACATTGAAACAACCACTTTGTCAAGGAATGATAGGATCCCTGCATTGTTACTACCATGGCCTCCCAATATTTTCGAGGGTTTTGTTGATTCAAAGAGCTAATTAGTTGGTCAGGCTGTGGTGTACGTTAGACTCATCTCTGTGGCCTTGTGACACCCGCAATTCTTGCCAGGATGCATTCATTGTTGTTGCCGGCTGCGCGATTTTCAGCGATCCTATCAGCATTGAGCAGGGCTTTGCGTTCGTTGCACAGCTCTTTTTCATCTTCCTTTGGTCGATGATGACGCTTGCTCTTCTCAGCGCATGATAAGCCAAGTGAAGTCAACTGAATTCGTTACCATTCATGCCACAGCATCAGAATGGTTTTGTGCTGTTTGCCGCGCTTGATGCTTTCCGACTTCGACGTTTTTGAAGGAAGGCTTTCCCGGACGTCTTTGAGAAGGAAGGTTTATGGCAAGGCATCTCCAGTCTCCTGGTTTGTCAACAATTGCCTGGACAGTTTCCATGACATTTATGTTGGTTTTGTGTATTCTGCTTTGACTTGGCGTACTCATTCTTCAAACACCTTTTGCAAGAGAGCATTGCACGGCTTAGGCATTCTGAGCGGCAAAGTGGGCCGTCGATGTCAAGGCCACTTGGTAGCAACGCTTGGAGATGAGCCAGGCAAAGGGAAACAAATCTCGTGTGGCGATCCACTTATCCTGTGGACACCCCTTAGATGTAGCCTCACCGCAGACCGCATGTGAAAAATACTTCACACTGCCACCTGGACAGCCTGCGCCCAGGCATTCCCAAGTGATCAATACTGCCGCACCCGACATGTGAGCTTGAGAGAGTCGACAGTTTTGCCAGTCTTGGTCGACAAAAAGGACACAAGAGCTAATCAGAGGACAGCTGAAAGCAATATAGCAACCAGATGGAGCAGGAAAGTGGCCAACGTAGATCCAAAAGGCTTGTTTCACCGAACTGGGTCCGTTGAGTGGTTGCGTGCTGCCAAAAAGACCCTTTGTGAAACGGTGGTGTTTGCCCCTCAATGCCTTGCAAAGTGATTGCCTGCGAGACTTGTTTAGGGGCAGGATCTCCACAGGAGCGTCATAGAAATTGGGCCAACATCCTGAACCTACTAGGAGCAAGGACGCTACTAGGAACAAGTGCATCGCTACTAGTAACAAGTGCCTTACTAGTAGTAACAAGAAGCTACTAGTAACAAGTGCCTTACTACTAGGAGCAAGGACGCTACGTTCGGGGCTCCTGGCATCGCTACTAGGAGCAAGGAAGGTACTACGCTTACAAATCTTCTTTAAGATTCATTGATGGTTTTTGCTCAGCTGCATCTGAAGGTGCGCTTTCAGAGTGTGGCCCGTTTTGGACGAAGCTTTGACCGTGGAAAAGGGGGGCCCCTTGAGCAAGCAGCCTGAGCTATGCATGAGTTCTCTGATTGAAGCCGATGTCAAGACATGATTTGAAATGATTTGAATTTGAATTCCTGGATTTCTTAGGGGCTCCATGCGCTGCACAATTGGATTTGTGCGCGATATTTTTCAGGTACATTGTTGAATTCACCAACCCTGCCACCATGTTTGATCAACAGTTCGCATGTGCTGAGCAGGCCAGCTGGTTTACAATAGGATGTAGTAGGCTAGATAGTTCCATGAAAATAAGCAATACACCCTTTGATTCTGGTCAGGGTATCCTGCAGAACTACATGTGGCCACTTGGACGGGGTGTGACCAGGAAATCAGCACAACATTCTGAAGAGGAAAGCATGACAAAGAGCAACGATTTGCAGCAAAAGGGAGCCACACAAGCTTGATGAGGCTCTCTTTGCTCTGTTTGGTGTTGGCTCCCACTTTCTTCTCGGCTTTGCGGACGCTTCATCGGCGGCAGGCAGAGACTTAAAGAGGTAGACAGCATGATAGATTATGAGAGCATGCGTTGCTTTGTGAACAGCTTTGTGAAGGTTCGTCACGTAAAGATGTCCAACGCCTTGTGGGTTTGATTGCCCCTTTGAGGCCCACAACGACGTTTCAGCCCTATTTTTCACCGCCGCAGCTTTCTTTGGCGTGCGTGTGAGGGCCCTCAGAAACTCTAGAATAATTAGTCACAGGTTTTGCCTTCAGGCAGGCTGTTTAGCATTGCGGAACGCCTCTGCATATCTTGGCATTCGCTGCATCGTGATTCTGAAAAAGGTTTGGCTGTTTACAGTGCACCTGATTGTCTACTCTCACAACGGGATGGGTGTGGCGCCAAGGGTTTTGACGCTGCGGTGCTTTAATCTGGTTTGCTCTATGGGTGCCCTGTGTCAATCACTTCACTCCAAAAAGTATTTCCGAAATCGTGATTCTCAGGCCTCGGGATGCTCCTCTTTGTGGCACAATTCCTGGACTTCTTGTCCACAACGATGGCCATGGCGGGGGCCCATGGCCATGGGGCTTTCTGATTTGAGCCCGAGGGCCGCAAGCATAGTCGCGTTTGCAATGTGATGTTACAAGAAGCAGCTGCCCTGCAGTGGCCAAAATCTCTCAGTTGACTCAACAATGCGTCAGTTCTGTGTCAGGTTGTCCTGGTGGCGCTAGTGCATGGTGTCTATGTAGTGAGGCGCATGACCAAATGGCCTTTAGTCCGAATATATTTTCCTTTATGAATTTGTCAGGCCTAACATCCCAATCGGCTCTGGCGAAAGAACGGCGCTGATGAGGGTGCCTAAATCGCGCCAGGGACCGGGCTGACAAGGAAAGGGCATCGTTTGGTTCCCCTCTCCAAGATCCTTTTGTTCCTTATGAAGCTACTAGGGGCTCCTGGCATCGCTACTAGGAGCAAGGACGGTACTAGGGGCTCCTGGCCGTAGTACTAGGAGCAAGGACGCTACTAGGAACAAGAAGCTACTTATCATTCATGGCCATTCATGTATCCACTAAAGTCAATTGCATGAAGCTCTCCGACTCCACGTGGAGTGGGTGTGCATGGACAACATCATTGCAAAGGATTGATTCAGCCCATACGCATGTACATGGGTGGAACAGTTCGGGCGCAGCTTGTTTGAGTCGCTGCAGGCCGCGGTGACAACACAAGAGGTATATATTGTGCCAATTCGCCAGTCATGGACGGTGTCCAAGGTATTCGTCGACCTTGGTGATGTAATGCGGTACTCTAATGGGTCGCGACGAGTTTCTTTCTCAATCCCTCCACAAGCAGAACATAGCGGAACGTGTGTCAGGTGACAGGATCGTTTGGAAGCACCTTCCTCTTCTCTACGCTCTTTTGCGGCTTCAAGGCCATCAGTGACTAGGTCAACAGGTCAGTTGGAAGTCGGGGTCGTAGCGTCGTAGCTGCTCAGGTGGATGGCCCAATAAGCCCTTTCGGGGTCTTGCGAGGTCCGGCAGCCATGCTCGAGCCTAAACATCCAAGATCATCCAAGTAGTGGATGTTTCTCTTAAGGATGATTTGAATTGAGCAGAGCCGAGGCCGTATTTGATTAGCAGAACTGTTGCAGGCAGAATCAATTTGCTTTTAGAGGAGATTTGATGCTTTTTAATCCTTGCCAGGCTTTTTCTGCCTGAATCAGGGCCTCACATTGGCGCAGGTGTGTTTCTACAGATGGCACATCTCACAGCCCTATCGGTTTTCAGCAAGCCTGGAACGATTGGAAGGCATCAGATGCAGCGGAGAAGAAGCCCTTCATTCTGAGGCTCAACATAGCTCAACCAAGTTCTTCCATTGGCTGTAAGCTGTTGATCCATGCCGTTTCCCAGGTTTGCTTTCCTGGCTGGGGCCTGGTTGCTAATCATGCCAGTCTTCATCTCAAGTGGAAGTGATGCGCTGTTTGACAAAGTCCGAAGGGCCCGAAGGGGGAACTTTCGAACCTCGGGCTGAGAGGAGCCCCGAACGTAGCGTCCTTGTTCCTAGTAGTAAGGCACTTGTTACTAGTAGCTTCTTGTTACTACTAGTAAGGCACTTGTTACTAGTAGCGATGCACTTGTTCCTAGTAGCGTCCTTGTTCCTAGTAGCGGCATTGAAGCGTTCTCCTGCCGAGTTCATCATGCTTTTCTCGAGCGAAGATTCTTGGCATCGGGAAGCTGCTCGCAACTCAAAGTCGTTCTGCGGTTTGCTTTTCTTCATTTTTCTTCCGAATGAGCTGTTTCTGCATCGAGAATGGACGTTGAGAAGTTGGTTCTCGTTCCTTCACAGCAGAGTAGATCTGGAATGACCTGGGTAGCTGTAGCATCAAGCAAATCCGAGATCATCATGGACCTGACCACAGCGGTGATGTTCAGCATCTTGCTTTGGGACTTCTGGCCAGTCCCTTGGAGCTTCTGACGTGTGAGCATCCCAAAAAGACATCTCCAAGGCCAAGTCGCTTTGGAGCTCTCTTCAGTTGCATAAAGCCAACCGTGACTCGCCTCACAATATTCTTAAATCACAATAGAATTGAGATGTGTCCAAATTCAAGCCCTATTCGGGTATCAGGAGCGTCTACACCCGTACTCTGAGCATGGAGCTCAGACAAAGGACTTTTTGAATCTTCTTCGCAGATACTGTATGCACTAGAACCCCTCAAAGAGGAATATATACATATATACGGACCGTATATAATGCACCACCGAAAGAGAAACAGTGTGATGCTGATGTTTGCACAGTGTTTGAGTCTCGACACATTTGGAATTTATTTCCTTCTTCTGGGCTCAGCCGCAGCTGCAGCTCTAGAGTGACCACTTGAGTGCCGCTCGAGACATGTTGCGCCTCTCTGTGCGACGCTTGGGGCTGCGGACAGCACGTCCGCTGCGTGCTGCGGCTGGACATGGAGAGAAAATGAGGACTGGATTGCCCTTGACACATAACTTACATGACATGCAAAGTAAGTCAATTATGTTGAAGTCAAGTTCGGAGTTTGAGGAAGCAATCCTTCGGCTATGGCGATCATGCCCCGCCCAATGCGCCGGGCTTTGGAGGAGAGCACCAGCAGTATCCTCCAGAGACTGTGTCCAACACCGTGAAGTACATCTCTGAGAACATGACGAACCCGCCCAAGTATAAGGAGATTGTAGAGGTTTCCATGTTTGTTCATTACATTTGTAGCACAATTTGTGTTGCTGGGGATCACGTTTC